GCAAATAAACAGTGGGTAGCACAGAATACACAGCTTTTAGTCGTAGCATGTCCTGACGAGAATATTTGTAGATCCTGGTCATGATTAGCACCGTTATATGGATGAGTTAAACCATAAATTCCAACGTGACGAACAAGCACGAGAGTGTAGCGCAGCCAATCGAAGGGCGCGCTCAAGTGGAGAGGCCAGGTCTCGCAACCGTAAAGTAGAACACTACAAACCACAGCAATGTACACCGTTCCCATTAGGGACAGTCGGATGTTATGGCAGCGTCACAGGTGTTGCAGGATTGTGCAAGCTGCTCTAGCTTTCGCTATTCATGATGTGATCTTCCCTACACCACCACCATCTGGCACCAAGCTCCCGAGTTACTTAAAGCTCTCAACCATTTCCAGCTGATCACCACAGAGAGTGAATGCTGCCACAGGCTCCCACCAGTCTTGTACAATTGTTGTAATTCCGGAAGGCGGTGACCGGTCGAGGAAAGTTGTTTATTACGAATTACGATCGGGGTGTCGGTGAATTATCATTCATACAACAATGTCTCATATTTGGAACACGTTTTCAGAATTCCCACACGTATACAGGATAGTTGATGGAACGGTCCACTATTAGATGTGCATTCTTGTATTTACCTTACTGAACAGCACCAATTTGCTCCAACCGTTCTTGTTCATTTTTGAGTAGTATCTCTCAACACAATCACTTACATTTGGACAGTGAATGTCGAAGAACACAATGATCGTTGTCATCGGCATGTTTTAAGTCAAAGACTCTGTTTTCCGGGAGGAGTTCAACTCCACCGTTTTCTAGTGGATACAGGCAATCAGATTGGACCAGAATCCGCTTTCAGCGTGATCTATCGTGTGCCACCCAACCCCTCTAAAGCAGTGAGCTTACTCACACTAGCCACCGCTGAGGCGATAAGCATTCTCATATTCGCACCAGAACTTTGTGCACAAAAGCGACTGGTTCAAGCTCTGACCCCAAATTGATCATCTACATGACCACCACCACGAACACTCGAATCACAATCATTCTCACCAGAACACAAACACACACGGCTTACCCAAACCCTCCCCTCTCCCCATCCCAAATGACAGTTCGACCCAGCGTGAAAATGTGTCCCCACTAACAACAAACCCTTATATGATCCGTTCCGGCACGATTATGAATCATTCGAAAACAATTGTTCGCTTTCGGACTTGTGTTTTAACATTACAATGGGATTATTCTGAAATAGTAATAGTAATAGGAAGGAGGCAAGAAAGCGCCGTAAATACGTTTGTTCAATCAGAATGATAAATATTGTTTCAGAAATATCTCAATACTGTAAACAGACGAAAAACGTCAAAAGAATTCTGTGTAAAAAGTAGCGAGTTTAAATATGCAATATAGCATTGTATGAACAGTATTTCCAATTGTTTTTCAGGGTACACAAAATCAATGAAAAAAGACGAAATATGTTGTCCATGAGAACACAAAATAGCAAACAAGCTCGTTTTCGGTGCTACATCAACTGGCTAAATACAGCATAATTTATAATAGGTTAAAACAGTTGGGGAGAGGAGACAAATATTTGAGAAGGAAATCAGAGTTCAAAGCGAGATGATGAATTTGTGATAACTGATGCTTGTGAGTATGTGTGTGTGTGTGTGCGTGGAAAGTGAGAGACAGAGGGTGATTGCGAATGTGTGGGTAGGTGAATGAGTGGTCCATGTGATTACTAATCTTACTGATCAAAAATATTGTCTCCATGTATCCTAAGCAAGAAAATTTTAAATTAACGAAACGAAAGCGACCGAAAATTGGTTTGGCAGTCTGTTTGTTCTCTGTGATGATCAGTAAATCAGAAAAAAGGCGTGTAAACTTTTGTATAAAAAAATAAAGATTATCCCAGAGCCTTTGGGGAATTTATCCAGAATTATCCAACTGAGAATTTTGCCACTGTTCAGTCTAGCTGGGCGCCGGAAAACCCGATTGCACACATACTCATTGCATCCGGTGTTGTCCGTACAGAACGCCGAGTCCGGCAGCCAGGGCCAACAACAGGAACAGTTTGCCATTGGACAGAACGAATTCATTGTGCCGAACGTTGTGTTGCTGAAAAGCACGAAGGAAACGAGGTGAATTGTACTGAAACTAATGATGTCACCAGCATGCTAACCATCTGAACTATCTTTCGGATCAGCTTATCCTCACCTCCCCCCCCCCGCCCTCACGCACAGATAAAGTGAAGCCTGTCTGATCAATTGCTCGGTGATCCATTGAGTAGTAGTATCCTTGCGTTTGACCTACATAACTACGGTGATCCTAGCTCATGGCATAAAGCAAACCACGGAGCGACACGTTACAGTTTTCGGACAACTTTGATGCGTCATGTTTCCCAGATGACGCCAGCGAAGTGGCTACACATTACATTTTCTGGACAACGAACCACAGGCTGATTCAGCCGACCAATCAGAAGCCGTGCAACCCAGGCGGAAGCTGTACGACGCCAAGAATATCAGCACATGATTGGTAGATGCCTGGATAACCAATTAATTTCTTCTGTACATGTTATTTAAACCCTTTGATTTTTTCCAATATACGAACTGCTACCTCCTCGGCTTTTTCCTTGCGTCTCGGTTGCGTGGGATACCGTCGTGCAAGTGCCAGTGTAATTCAGTCCTTCCGTGGCGTCCGTGATTCCTAATACGTGATTCGTAATCCGTGATCTGTGCGTACATCAACCATTACATTTTCGCACCAACCGCCCCCTCCCACCACCCGATGGGTTTTTACAGTGAAGCAGAACTGAACGTGAACAGGACAAAAAGACTGCTGCCGCCGTCCTCCTTCTCCAGGAACGTAATGGGCAAATATTATGGATGAGGAAGAAGTGCAAGAGACAGAATCGATCTATGATCAACACGAATTCTGAAACACCAACCGAGTTTGCATTGTACCATTATTCGGCGGTACTCGAGGCTCAGGTTCACCGTCAATGCAGTAATTTTTGGCCACAGATGTGATCAGCTTCCCATAAAAATCAAACATCCATTGCTATTGATTCGAATCGAGTTGCTGTTCAGTTTTTATAAAAAGCAACATATGCTCCGAAATATAAAATAATACCCCGACGAAAGTATTGTAGCTCTCTGGATTGCAGTACAAACTAAGGAAATTAAACGTATATTTCCGGTGAGATCCTCCTCAAGCCAATACAATCATTTTTATGCAAGAAAATAGCGAGATAATGTTGACTTCGGGTTGAAACACTTGAAGTAAAATAATTATAGGAACCGGGTGGGGTAGGGCCACGTTTGTTTCCAGCTCACTTGTCCGGATAAGTACGGGTTATGTAAGCGCTGATAATTGATTTGGGTTTTCATAACTCTGATGCTCGGTGATGTTGTCCGCTTTGAGTCAGGGAACTTTAACTGCTTGAATAAGTGTTTTTTCAACACACAAGCTGGTTGACATTGCTTCAATACATGTGTACATCTTTTGAATATAAATTTCGCAAGATTTCAGAAAAAAATTCCACGCCATCCGAGATATGCAGGATAGCGAGTGAGGTTCCTCAAAACTTGGGCCGAGGATTCTCTTTAACTACTAGAGAGCACCAATCACCGATTTTTGAAGTGAAATAGTGTTCTTCTTTCCAAAATGATATCGAGAGTAGTTTCCCGCATGAAGCCCCAAATCAGCCGGAACGAAGGCCACTTGGGGGAAAATTCCGTCCGGAAGGCTGTATCAGAATGCGAGAATGTATCGACCGAAATACTACTTATGGTCCACCTAGAAACAGTAATGACTAATCATGGGTAATGAGTTAGTACAGAGTCTAGCTGGAACTATACCCCCAAACTGTGATGAGTTTTTGTATTCGTTATAACTTGCTTGGATCAAATAAAAACCCAATAGTCTAACATAAATTCGTCGCGGAACTATTTCATATTTTCTAGCACATGCATTTCAATGAAAACCCACCCTGGCGACAAACACCGAGTGGGGATACTCGAGGCATTATCAATCGTTCACACCAAACCCACGCTGTGTCCAAAGAGTATAACCTCTTCCATTGGCTTTCCTTGGTTGTGACCAAACACACACGTACAACAATACACGCCCACACACATTCGATAGACGATAAAAATCGCAAATCAATATTAAGGCAGCCCCATTGTGGTGATCCAGGCCTAGGAGATGACGCCTGCCCTGGAGCGGCGCGCTACAGTTTTTGGACACCTGCGATCAATCAAATTTCAAAAGTGACGTCAATGACTCGCGTACGTGTTACTGCTTCTGACTACACACCAAAGGCAGATCGTGCCAGCCAATCCAAGATGGTGCAGTCTAGAAAGAAGCAGAATGATGCAAGCAATACTGGAATGCGATTGGTAGAAGCCTGGATAACCAATCATCTTCTTTTTTACATATTATTCAATCGTCGTCAGTTCTTCCAATAAAGGAACTGCTATTCTTGTGGCCTTTTCTTCGCGTCTCAGTTACGTGGGACACTACATGCTAGTGCCATTGCGGTCCAGTGCTTGCGTGATCCATTCCGTGATTGCTAGTCCTTGAATCGTATTCCGGGATTCGCATTGCGTAGTTTGTGTTCCGAGTCCAGTGCGCATTACTACTAATACTACGATCGTTACACAGAACCCAATACAGGGTTATCTTCATTTGTGGGATCATGGATCAGTATAACTCATTCTTACCGTAATCTGTCTTACTCACTCAACTACCTGGATCGAAAGGATACAATCAGGATGTGAAAAAATGGGACGGGTTGGTCAGTGAAACAATAAAGATAATAACCTATACGATGAAACTGAGTAGCGAAGGGAGAAGCTGCAGATGGTAGATAGATGGTGATAGATGGTTGTCATTGGTATTGTGGATTGAATGTAACAGTCAACCAGGGAATGACGGAGAACAACGCGATTTCTATTAGCTAGTGAATAGGTTCGAATTTGATCCTAATATTCAGGTGAAATACCGTTAATTCTTTCACTGTATTCTTTTACTATTGTTAAGTATCTTGTCGAGTCTGCACTTCAACGACAGAAATACGTAGGCAATCGCATTTGATTCAAAGGAATCGGTGTTAGTTGAGGGAATCACAGCCCCAATGGAACTTACTCACTAGGATTTTGAGGGCCTAGACTGAATCCACTCATCCAATGAATCATCCTAACATTCACTTCTGGGCATGGTGATCAATTTATCGATCCATCTTGACGTAATTCGATTCCTTACCCAACCGACAGAGGTCAGTTACCGCCGGGTTTGTTCATTCGTGTCTATGACGCACGCTCGATCCACGATCTCGGGCATAACGTGCCAGGTTGGGGGGGGGGGGAGAACAGTCCACCCCACCCCATCGAAACGTTCATCCTCGCTCGGTAACTCACTCAAAAATTACTTTTGTTTGTTTCCGGAGAAGTGAGTTAATTCGGACTGGGACAGGGTTTAGACAGACCCGGTCCAATCGGTGACGGTTGACGGCCGAAACACCAATCATCTAATGGGGTTCCCAAAGGAATGCGATTAGTTGGATTCATTTGAAGTTATAAAGGATTCAATTGAAGTTGAAAGGTATAGATTTGTTCACATGTCGAATTCATCATATAATCAAATCAACTCCTCCATTACTCTCATACTAACTAGATTTCTTGATTCGCTTCACTTGTCTATCTTGTTAAATTTGATACGTACGCAACCGATGAGAGTATACAAAGAAAATTCCTCTCCAAGAGCTTATCTTCAGACTTGCGTGTTCATATGCCAAGCAGTTCTTTTCAGGGCGTTGACGTGTCGTTTAAACTAGCTCATTCTAGTCTGAACTGGACATTCATTCATCTTCCCGGGAGAGGAGCAGCAGTAATGCATTGTGATTGGCTCAACTGCGGTTTCCTTCATTGGTACAATAGGCACAATAAAATAATTTATGCAATCCAAAAGTTGCTTACTTTGTGTTCATGGGTTGTTTTCTTTTTCGTTTCATTTATATTATGCAGCAAAGAGAGCAATGAATCGTGCGATTCCTCTGGAAACGAAGCGTCTATCCAGCCCAGACTGCGCTCGACGGCCGCGTGCCAACCGGTAAGCATGACTTGGCGTGCGTGTGGAAGAATGCTCGGAGTAAAGTAATGCGGTGGCGGATCGGCTGTTTTCGGGAACTGTCGCAGTTTCAAAAGCCCGCTCGGATCCAGTCCGACGGCCAGTGCGGCAGCAATCGCCGCACCCAGTGCGGTCATCATTTCCGAATGATTGTGTCGTCGAACGATCATGTCTGTGTGTGTGTGTGTTGTCAAGAAAAGGGAGTGGGAACACCGTTCATCAGAGAAGCAATGGAAGACAGTGCAACTTTTCCCTTTGAAACAGCACACTACTATCCGCCAACGAACACGTAAAAGCATAAATATACATCAAGATACAGAGAGATGGGCCACCGGGAGATATCTACGGAAATATACTAATTTTAATGGAGTAAAAGAAACATCATTTTTTTCCGGAATGGGCGAATACACACAGAAACAATATGGTGAAGGGCACACGGAACCAAAAAGAATACTTTTTGATTCATCGGATCTGGCAGTTGAATACAACCTAGGCACTGAATTGGTTCAAATATAACTCAATTAATGGAAGTGAACGAGTCAAATGAGTAGACCGGGAAGGCTTAGAAAGACCGACGATAGTCAATGAGAGAATCGCGGAACGGAGAATTCACCACCGGCGGTTATCTCTTGTTCACAGCCTCCATCCGTGAGTGATCAAGCAAATTGTTATTATTATTATTTTCTCTTTGTGAAGTTGTTCAAAATATTCTGTAAAAATCCTAAGGGGCATGCTAAGCTTTAGCTTTGTTAAATCGCCCCATAACAAAGCTTTGACTTTGACTTTCCTAAAAGCTCTTGGATCGAGCTATTTTTTGAAAACAGTGTGGTGAAAAATCTTGCATTCATTCTCATCCTAGCGAGCGGCACAAAAAGAAAAGTTTAACAAGTATTCTGTTGTGGTCCACAATTGACTATTGCGTTTGTCATACATGCCTGTGGCCGGATTGGCTGATCGATTGATTGACAAATGCTGTCAGCTCGTACACACGCTATGCGGAATAACTCTACTCCAATATCGATCGGCTTCAGCCAATCAGGTGTTGGTATTGAAACATCCACGCTGATTGATTGGTTGACTGTTTGACTGCCTGCTTGACCGTATTCAGCGGTCATGTGACGCATGAGCCAGTTATTGGCCCGCTCCTACTTTGTTCACCAGCCTACGGACCGGCTACATGTGTACCTACTTGAATAAACTTACTGCTTAGATCACTGCATGCTTATTCATCCAGTCAACCGGGACACAACATTTGGCGTTGCGTGCTCGAACTTGCTTGTTACATTTACTTGCAAAATGCTCGGATTGTGGAGTACAGTTACCCAATTTTGAAATGACCCTACTACCATACCATATCATGACTCGTGGAACTCGTCAATTAATTATTTTGGTCTGAGGTATTTTTCTTCGGCGGTAAAGTTTGCTGGTAATTATGGGGATATTGTCAAAATGGGCAGTTAGACCGGTTGAGTGTTGCCAGCACTGGCGCTTATCCAGTCATGAATTATCCTTGTAACCCCAGTCTATACGAATTCTTCATGTTCTCTTTCACTCTGCTCTCAACATTCCAATCCTCACTCTGCTGTTTTATCCAAAGGAGAAGCTAAAAGGTAGCCACCAAAGCCACTGCACAACGATGCACCGTTAACGGTTTAAAAAATTTTAAACTGATTGGGATAACACAATGAGTCGGAAATTAAATGTGCATTTTGCGTTTTTGGTTAACCTGTGTTTATTTCAAGCCCCAAGAATAAAAGCGAGCATCAGAACCGTTTATATAAGAGAGACTAGTGAATCCACAAATGAATACTGGTGAACTCACTCAATATATCAGCCAGACTTTGCATGAGTACCACGCTGTTAGCCATACCACCATCTACAACAATTTCTCGCGGTTTCGTCAATGTTGCACCACCGGCCGCCGAACGACCCTCGGCCATCGTGGCCACTCGGAGAACGTCGTACGTCTGATAGACAGACGATCGCAGAGCAGCGTATATAAATGCACTCCTGTCCACATCGGCAGTCAGACCGGCAAGTGTGGCCCGAGCAGTCTCCTGCCACCATGGGCAAAACAATCCACTGAATGCTGGTACCAGGTAGCACGAGTCTGGCATATCCTCACGATGATTCTTGTACGCCTCTCGGGCTAACGCTTCCAATTCTTTGTAGTCTGAGAACAACGATAATTTGTTACGTAACCAGTTGATTGTTGCACCGGCGAAGGATACAGCTCCCTAAGTAACGGGGTGAAAAGGTGCACAGAATAGATATGCGGCTGACATGGTCATGGACAACTGACANAACTGACACCCTCGATTTCGAACAAAAACGGCGCTCACACTGCCATGAAAACTCACTTCTAATGCATAATGCGTTTCAGCCTTCGGTCCCATTTTAAATGCAACGGTTGTCAAAATTCCATTTTTGGAAAAGAATGGTGAGTTGCCAATATCCCATAACATAAATGCTCCGGTTCCGTAGGTGACTTTCACTGTGGGACCAAATGATTGATTACTTCCGGTAGATCCCTCTGAAGACGGCCATGTTTGACCAACGAGTGAAGCTTGCTGATCGCCCAAAATGCCAGCAATTTTCACTGATCCCATTGCACACTTTGGATCCTGAATCTCACCAACAACTTCGGACGAGGAAACCACTTTGGGAAGTATTTTTGGATCAATTTTGAAAAATCTGCGGGATGCAGGTCGTTAGCACACAAAAAGGCTGATGAATAAATGAATTCTTTTACAAATCTATTCATACTCGTTTTCATGAAATGTAATGAGGCTAGGTTTTAATTCGTTTCAGGATCATCTTTAGCAGTTTGGTGAATTCTAATCTTTATGATAACAGGATGTGTTGAATTCAACTACTTCATGGTAGTGGTAGTAGTTCGCGATGGTGGCCCGGTGGTAACGTCACCAATTATTACCCCGGAGGACGAGTGTTCGAAGCCCATCAGCCTCGCCTGACTTCCCCATCTATGTATTGTATGGCAGCCCTTTGATTGGCCGCTTCCCCCTTCCTGAAAAATTGTATCTTTGTGCATTCAATAAAAAGAAGTAAAAAGAAAAAGAAATTGGTAGGTGTCACCGTCCTTCCCCTCTCTCTGCCTTTCCCCCACCCTGAAGTGATTCCGCTTCCTGTACCGATTGCCCAACCCGGTTCATAGTAGTGACCTTTGGCCTTCGTATTGATCGATTTCTACTGTCCCCAAAACTTTCACTCTTTCAACCAAACTTGATCTGAATATATGTACAGAGCTGATGAGATTACCACGAAATAGTTGAATTTAACACATCCTGTGATCACGATGCTTCTTCCTGCTCTCATGAAAATGTTAAAGGGAACTGGTTGCATAGAATTCTAATCTGAAATGTAAGCATATATGGTTACACAAATACAACACAATACAATCTGCCGATCCCTGCGATAATGCAACGAGGCAGATTCCAAAATTATATAATGGGACCATGTGCTCACCTACACAAGTCCGGATCCCAGTTGAGTGTATGCAGATTGAATAGCATTGTTCGACTAGCGTTGGTGACATCAGTCACATGACTTTGCCCGTTCGTCAGGCGCCATATGATCCAAGAGTCCACAGTACCGACTAACAGGGTGCCAAGTCGATTAGCTTCAGACACGGCGGCATCGTTCTCCAATAACCAACACAGTTTTAGCGCGGAGAAGTAGCTGTGGATCGGTAAACCGGTTTTCTCCTGCAACATGAACAGACAATATGGAAGGCGATATGAATCTTGAAAATTTGTAATGAACATGAAACGAGCATACGACCGACAAACGGCCAATCATCGGCTGAATTCAACTGCACAGTAGAGCTATCTATAATTTTGATGTAATCCTTAAGTAAAAGGAATATAAAGTTACGGAGTAATGATTTCATGATCAGTTCCCAGCTTGAGAGGTGGTTTCTTATCCTGGATAAGCATCCATGTGCATAAGTCAGTGTTTGAAAATGATTAAAAGATTGTAAACAACAACTAAGCTTTTGTATGTATGACAGCCATTGTTGCATCCCATGGAAGCAATTAATACGCAAACGGTGAATTAAGTAGTTACTCTACCTCCAGTATCTGAATGTAAATGTAGCTGATCCGTAGGCCGGTGAGCAATGCTCTGAGTCAACAAGTAGACAGGCAAGTCAGAACTGGGGCAAGCGTTACCAAAAGGAGAATATCGTCAGACTACGCAGTCAACGAACCAATCAATGAGGTCAGGTCAATACTGACCTCTGATTCACTGAGGCGGCTCAGTCTTGAAATAGATTAAGCCCACATTGCTCACCGCAACGGTCAACCACGTGATGTGCGGCAAACCTTTCACACGACTGCAGGCCACAACAGCCATATTTTCACTGTCCATCAAATTGAGATAGAAATCCATGCCGTAGAGTCATCCTTTTCCTATTTTAGTTGATACATAGAACACCGTAATTTGGAGGTGTCTCATCTTGGAGGATCAGGCAGAGGTTAATCCCCTCTTTGCGCACATCACACGGGAGTTTACGGCTTTACTGTAGAATGGACTCCCCATGTGAAGCGGTGTGAATCAGGACTTGTATTTTTTTCTGATAATTTTGTAGAGACTGAAGAGATAGCTCTATCCTCGTTTGAGTGTACTGATATCTTTAGCCTCTTCCCGGCATGTACCCGTTAGAGCGGTGGCGGTCATGGTGGTGAATCCAGATCCGTTGAAATGTTTTTCTGGTTTGTGTGGCTATATTCAAAACCTTCATATTGTGAGATAACATTGTCGGATTGGTCTAATTCAGATCCCAATCTTACTCTAAATGCAAAGGCAATAGATAATTGATCAATTACATCTCTCCTGGAGGAAGAAATTCCGACACATTGTCGTCATGCTGTGCTGTAAGATCGCCTAGCGATGACCCCCTGAAGATAGCGTTGGCGTTACCACATCATTAAACTTTCCATCAAGAATCGAGTGTTTATAGTGCACCGATTTGTCAGAAATCAAAGCACAGCACGTAGTGGAAAATGGAGGAAGCTATCAGACGGTTAGTGCACAGAAATGCTACGTGAAATGGGCAGTATACATTCATTTCCGTAGCTTTGTACCATTCAGCATAGAGAAGAACCTGATAATCTGTTTGACCAACAGAGCGAGAACAATCTGAACGGAGGAAATGCTGGTTGACGATGGCAAAAGGGGAAAGTTGAATAACCCCAACCTACGTATGTGGCACGTCAGAAGCCACCGAGCGCATACTACGACCGCTGGGAATCAAGGTAGCCCATAAACCAGTAACAATCTCTTTAACAGCGTGGATCAAGTCGAACACCACGAACCATCAGGTGTAATCTAAGGCAGTCCGGTACCTGGGGCTGGAATCAACATTACATGGAGGAGACAGGCAAAGAAACAAGCATTTGCCTACACGAACACCAGCTTACCTTCCGACGCGCTGACCAGAGGTGACAAATCTGGAACCACTGCGCATGGACAGATCACGAGATCGCAATCGGTAGCATAAAGGTGGTGGCACGAGCTAAGAAGGTGGAACGGTTAATCCCCGAAGCTCTACACTCGGTCAATTCGTTCAACCGACACGTCGAGATAGACAAACATTAGGTCGCACTCGTAAAACCCGTGACGATTGGTGGGCTTATAGAAGCATAAACAGCACACGAGAGCACGGAAAGACGATAATCCCCTTATCTCATTTATTTTATTTGCGCCTGATAACGAGTCCTAGTTTGGATCGAAATGTTATAATAAACATTTTGAAACTTAGTGTACACCTCAATTCTCTCTTCATATATATATTTAATAATAAGTAGTATGTGATTGACCGGAGAAAATTCCCCTGGAAACTCACGACCGGTTTCGCGGTTCTTGCCGCTCAACAGGCATGCGTAACCGGTCATCTTTTGTCAGTTCATTGATATACTTGTACCTAGGAAATGTATTTTCGTCACAATAACCTTGTTTGCAACACCGGATAACCATTGGATAGACAGCTGTTTCAGAGCCAGTTCAATGAAGAATTAATGCTATGTTTTGTAAGTGATTCGCATGCTTCCAGGGAAATTTTGTCCAGTCATTCACATACTACTTATTATCAAATATTCTACGAAGACCATCAGGTCACGTTTGTTGCGGTTAGTAGCATCTAACCCACCTACAAAATATCGAATCATAACCTTGATTCTTCATTGGACTGGCTCTGAAAGAGCTGTCTATCCAGTGGTTACCCGGTGTTGCAAACAAGGTTATTGTGATATATATATATATATATATATATATATATACAATGAATTATTCAGGGTTAAAAGCAAATAGCCTTGGTTCATATGGGATTAAAATGTGGAGTTAAGGATGCGTCACATGCGATTTAGAGATTAAAGTATGCAACCGTATGCTTTGAGCCTTATCGCTGGGATCTGAATGGACTTCTATAACCCGTGTCTGTTTTGACAAGACCGGTTGGGCGAGGGGGGACGGGGAAGGGTAAACAGTTGTGTACAGAAAATTTCAGATTGCTCAGTTACCTGAAACGCATTCACATCTTGTCCGGGCGTCATCGAAGTGAACTTTTTCACCAAATCAGCCGTACGTGCATCGGACCAGACAATTGCCGGAGCCAGTGGTTTGCCAGTGACTCGATCCCAGGCGATTGTAGTTTCACGCTGATTGGTCACACCCAAGGACGCGATACTCTGACCGAATTCGGATTGGAGTGCAATGCAAAAAATGAATAAAGTTGACTTGTGGATGGAGAGGGTTTGTGAAAATTTCGATTTCCGATTTGTTTAGCAAATAATTAAAAACCACAAAGTACCGTCTTTTTATGTAATACAATGCAATAATCATACCATCATATTTCCGATAAAAGTTGTCATGCGGAACATAAACGTTTTGGAATTTCCAACTAGGTAACTGTCAAACAGATTTCAATCGTATAAAAATAATATATAGCCGCATAACTTAAAATCATATATACATACATATCTTTATTACCGGCATGCGGACAAGCATGATGCCTGTCAGGGTGTTAGCATGTTCCCCGAAAACTGCTTTGTTCTGGGACAAACAATCAGAACAACGATAGACGAACTCGGAGGTGATTGGTCGGAGTTGGTCGACAGCAATCCAGTTAACCAATCTTCCCCTGTCCTCGAACTTTGCTATCAATGAGCAAGAAGTTTGCATAATAAATGAATTCCTACATGCTTCCAGCTGCGTTCTATTACATTAACTGTGGAGTTCCTATCTGGACGAGAAACGTTACTGGAAGACAAGCTTTTTCAGAATCCAGACCGGAGTTAAATCCTATACGGTCACAACTGTGTCAACGCAACAAAAACAAGAGTACCAGAAAATGTGAGTGATGCGGGATTTGGTTCCACATTCGAAGGGCAAATGTGTCGTGTATATGGCAAATGAAGCGTGAACTAAAAAGCTGGGAAGCACTGGACAGTTGTTTCAACCTGGTTCGGGTCTCCTTAGCAGTGCTATCATCAGCAGTGGACCATATCGTGTAAATGGTAAATGGCAAACGGTCCGATCAGCTGCCCGGTGGTCGAGTGAGTAACTGCTTGTATTCTGCCTGTGAAGTTCCGGGTTTGATCTCCAGTTGGATCAATGGATTCTCACTGCTGATGGGACCCAACCAGGTCGAAATAGCTGCCAACCAGTGCTACCTAGCTTTTCAGTTCATGCTTCATTTGCTATATACATTACGAATTCACCGTTGAAATAACTGAAAACGAAGGGGTTGAGATGAGAGAGATAAACAGCAAAAGTCCGAGAATAATTATCTCATGACATGAGCGTTTGTTGATTAGGTAAAACGTATTCAGCTTGAGGTCTTGATACGTGTAGGACTTGATCTTCAACCTGGTTTCAGAAAATGAGGATAAAAATAAGGCATGCATTGTGTGAAAACTTGTTTCTAACTTACCGTCAAGTCTTTGCCCTGACTTTGAATCTGTTTTGCACATTCATTTAGACAGCTCAAAGTCGTCTCGTAAAGTTCGTTCGCATTTAACTCAATCCATCCGGAAGCTGGATAGGTTGGCGTGACGGGGATTTGATGCGTGGCGACCACATTGCCGGTCAGAGCTGAGAATACGATCACTCGGGAGCTACTTGTTCCCTGATCAATACTCACCACATGAGGCTCTTCCGTAGCTGATACACTTGTATTGACTTCCATTGATGCGGAAATTTGATTCTACAAAATGAGAATAATGTTGTTTTTGCTGAGCTCAGCAAACATCCCGGGGAATTACATAATTATCAATCGTGAGATTTCAAGCATTCCCTTGTGGCGAGACTTAATCACAACGGGTAATGTGAGAACCGTTTACTGCCAAGCAATATGATTTTGGTGGAACAGAAAATGGAATGATGTAACCAGCGTCCGTCACAAGTGATTTTCAGTCATGTGTGAGTATAATTTGCATTCGGTGTAAATGCTTGTATTGTTGTGGTCAGTAGTCGTTCGAAACTGACTATCAATATATAAATTGGGATTGTGAAAAGTGCAGTAGCCTCGGTGGGTTTCGAATCCACGCATGGAAGTCGTCTACGCTTATGTACAGCGCACGCTCTACCAGCTGAATAAAGAGGCCAAACCGACAGTACTGATCTTTCCACATTCGAATTTACCCATCTGTAGGTTGGATGGGTATCGGGCGCTCCGTCATCAACCAATGAACGTCCAGTCCCTTTGATTTGGAACAAGTCTTCAGACATCCCACAAGCACACAGGATAGTTATTGAAACGGCCCGATGGTAGATCGGCATTCCTCATAGTTAAAAAAGCGAATCCTCGCGAATTCTGTGGGAATCCAATAACCGCTGCTTAGTGCAGGCAAACTACTCACAATTGTGAGTAGTACCTCACAACATTGGTTGTTTTCACTGGACTAACATGTTTGGTGGTTTAGTGATATGGAACAGTCGGTACACATTAAACCAACTGAGATCTCACATTTGTGTATCGGACAAAAACTGTGCTGAAGAGAAGCAATGATTGAAATGTAAACATAATATATAATATATATAAAATATAAATATATAAAAATAATGGAGTATTCTACCATTGCCAGGAGCTTCTGACTGAGCTCCGTCTTTCAGAGCCCGTTTCTGAACGTTTCAAAGCGAGTTTCGAATCAGACATTGAGTGAAAGACCTGGAAACCAGGCAATGTGTAAACAGTACCAGTCAGTCACTTAGGAATAAACAACACAGACTATGCCAGGGCTATTTTGTTCAGTGGGTTTCCCCTTAAGGAAGAATAAAATCCACTGGTCTCTGGGGTAGAACTCTGGCCACAGTCCGCGATAAAGACTGATGGTACCGTTCAGTTCAGCCATTTTCCGGTCCCATTCGAAATAGCTCGACGAAATGAAAATCTTTGACGAGCTTGTCCTGACAATAGTGCAGATAGCTCAATGGAAATGTCATGCACTAGGGATGGTCCATCTGTTTTGACGAATCACATAGAGAATTGGCCGTACATCCACCCGATAAGGGATCTGGTGCCATTGTTACGGATATGACCGAATACAAGGAGAAAATGGATTCAAGGCTCAGTGATCAATAAAAGTGTGTGCTTGAGGAGAATAGGCCACAGGATCCACACGAGCTTGAAAAGAAGATATCTTCCGTGATACAGTTTCTACTAGAAGGCAAATTTATTAATGAAGCCATCGCCGGAAAACTCAAACTAATCAGTACACAAATGCCACAAATGAATGGTTTACCAAAAGGGCATAAACCTGGTATACAACTTCGTCCAATAATGTCCATAAGAAATTCTCCACAATACAATATGGTCAAGTGGCTCGTGAAAAGATACTGGAGCCGGTAAGGAAATCGATTGTAAAGTACTCCTTGAAGGATAGCTTCGAATTTACAAAGGTTTTCGATGAACTAAACATAAATGGCTGTTATATGGCATCTTTCAATGTCGTTTCTTTGTTCACCAACCTTCCTGTTGTGGAAACTATACAAATCATCTGTGACTACGTACTAGAGAAACAAATACACTTGGGTATTCCTCTATCGGTTTTGGAACGTCTACTAGTTCTGTGCACAACGGATGTACACTTCAGTTTTCGAGGGCGGAGATTTAAACGCGTCGATTGGGTGGCTATGGGCAGCCCGTTGGATCCTATTCTAGCCAATCTTTTCATGGCTAGTCTGGAGAAGAAAGCCAGTACGGCACTGTTCTGTACAAAAGGTACACCGATGACACGTTTATAATCACCCGGAGGGCCAGGGAGACTGAGGAACTGTTAGCTGAATTGAATTTACTTTACAAGGACATACAATTCACTATAGAAACCGAAGAAAACAATACACACCGATTTCTGGATAGTGTTATTGGTGGAAGGCCGAAAGGGGCTATTTCGAGGTATGTGCATCAAAAATCCACATGGACAAACCAGTATATGTACTTTTTGAGTTTCGCACCAATCCAGTACAAAGGAGGCCTCGTGCGTACACTGTTTGACCGAGCTAGGAAGCTGTGCACTTCACATAATGTGGAAAGTGAGTTAATTCGGCTCTCGGAAGCTCTGAAGCTCAATGGCTACCCAGCAAAGTTCATACAATTGGTTAGCGAAAAAGCCGAACCCAAACCCTCAGAGATGATAGTACCGAAATGCGACGTCACCATTCAATTCCCTTTGAAAGGTGATGATGTACGTCAACTCATACGAAGAGGGCTGGTGGCGACTGTAGGTCGCACGTATTTTGCTGAAAATCCGGTCGTTCGCTTCTCAACAACCCGGATTCCGAAGCCCCTGGTGAAATCACCGCTTCCTCTCTCTGCCAAAGCGCATGTAATCTGTGAATTTCAATGTAGGTACGGAGATACCTACGTGAACAGAGAGGCAGCTGCGTACCCGAGTGGCTGAACACATACCGGGATGGGTCGAAGGTGAGCCGGTGAGATTGAGCGCTACACAAACTACCAGGCCATCAAGCCAGTCCCACAGAGCACCTGCACCATCAATTGCTCGCTATCTGCTGCAGATTGGCCACCAAGCTGATCGTGGGACTTCGTTTCGGATTGTTTACACAACCTCGAATGGACGGCTGCCAAGATTTGCAGAGGCCATAGCAAGCAAGCCCCTGCTGTGTCAGCAGAAGGGGGTCTACATCAGTCTGGCATTGCCCTGGTAACCACGTAGGCGGAAGAGTGAATTGATACCATGCTATATTATGAACAGCTGCGATATATAAACTGATTTATATTCTGCAGTAACCACCAGCTGAGATGCAGCGAAATGATTCCGGAATTAATTCGTGCTCGCTCGCAGTGTTGTGTTCTCTGTTCAAGTTCATTTCGGGAAATAATTATTTCAAATAGGAGTAACTTTCACGAAAAGAAGAAACACACACAAACAGCTAAAACATTTAATTGGAGCAAAACCACTTAAAAACCATGAATATACAAAGCCATAGAAACAATTTTCCACTTTTGGAGTCGGTGATTTCAATTACATTAGTTTTAATAGTGAAATAATTCGTAGCGATGCGCTAAAGATCGATTACGATGGCGAATCAAAAACCAACTTGTGTCTTATTGGGGGCAGAGAGAGGAGCGATAATGAGGTTTTATTTTCAGAAAATCAATAAGACAATAAGCATGCGGATGTTAGAGATTTATTCACTCAGTTTCTGATTAACGAACACATTTGTACTGTAAAGAAAACAAGTCTTGTAAATCGCTTTATCAGAATATAGCGCCCAGTTGCCAAACACAAATATCAAACACGCAAAACGTGTCTCTCACGCTTGATTATCACAAAACCACAGTCTGAAGCGATTTGAATGGATTATGGGCAACATTTCGTTCTGATCATATCAAACTCACCAAACTCTGTGGTTTGCACGAACGACTACAGATGTGTTAGCATATATCTGATTTCGCGGATCCAACTACTTATATGGTCACTCCCACAAAAGCAAACTGGATTTTTTGTTTCTGATATCAGACATGTGTTTGTGTGTGTTGCGGTCTGGAGTGCCGTGATCAACAGTCTCGTGTGACTTCATTGCGCAACAAAACGAAAAAATGCAATTGATTGCAGCTAGTTAACACACACACACATACCACAAACGAACAGAGATCAAACAGTCGCTGGAATGGGTCAGGGCCGAGATGCGGTTTCGAGACAAGATAAAAGCAATTGGAATCGGGAGCTCATCACGTGACCCATGAGATCCGCATCCAGACTGACCCGATTTGAAATTAAAACGTGTTTCTTTGTATTTTACCGCTGAATAAACTACACTCGCTGATGAATAGAATATCGCTGGCTAGTAGTAGTAGTATTTAGTTAAGTGGTTGTCACATGCCAGTTCGTATTCGGTTAGAAAACAAAAGGCTCACAGATATTAGCTGATCTGTGTGATATATAAGTGTGCAACATCGCTCACATTTTGGAAATCCATTTCAGTTTCCAATATCATACTTTTATGTTGTTGACTATAGTTAAAGCGTATTCCTCATTTTTATCTCCCATTTCCACGTTCTTAGTTCTCTTCTATCATCATTTAAGTTTGCTTGACTTTGAGTGTTGTGATAAAATTTGTAGCAGTTCGAAAGTTACAACTCAGATTTCGAAAATACTTTCATGCAAAGCAGCATGAATTTTCATCTTTCTAAAGAATGATTGCTGTTTCATGACTTTGTTTAATAAGTTGAACACAGGTATTTCAAATAGCTCATTACTTTTAATTCAGTACAAGCCAATTCATGAAAATTTTCTAGCTTAAATAACTTGATAAATTATTTGGCTACAAACTACTCACAGATGAAGGTTATTGTATCTTCTGGCTTGAGGTTGATAGTGGAAAACGGTTAAACTTCATCAATTTTTTTCACATTTATGCAATTTCTGGAGGGGTCAAAACCAGTGTCAAATTCATTCAGTTACAGACCAGCAGTTGGGAATTGAGTGCAATGGAAAACCATTCCCTACGTTAGAAACAGGGATAAATTAGCTGCCTCGACAATGGTTGTCAGTGATTGGGGTGTGGTACGTATCAGAGGAAACTGGTAAATCCTGTTGCACAATCAACTTGGTGGATTCCATGCGAAAGCGACTACCTTCAGTGCACCAAAATGAGGAAGGGCAAATGGAACAGGTACTCGGTGAAAGCACAATACCTGTATCAAGTCTATCTGTTTTTGAT